GGCAAAATGGTTCTCTGAGGAGGCCTTACAAATAGCTGTGAAAAGAAGAGAAGCAAAAAGCAAAGGAGAAAAGGAAAGATATACCCATTTCAATATAGAGTTCCAAAGAATAGCAAGGAGACATAAGAAAGCCCTCCTAAATGACCAATGCAAAGAAATAGAGGAAAACAATAGAATGGGACAGACTAAAGATCTCTTCAAGAAAATTAGGGGTATCACAATAAACTGTGGAAAATTCTGAAAGAGATGGGAATACCATCTCTGACCTGCCTCTTGAGAAACCTATATGCAGGTCAGGAAGCAACTGTTAGAACTGGACATGGAACAACAGACTGGTTCCAAATCAGGAAACGAGTACGTCAAGGCTGTATATTGTCACCTTGCTTATTTAACTTATGTGCAGAATACATCATGAGAAATGCTGGGCTGGAAGAAACACAAGCTGGAATCAAGACTGCTGGGAGAAATATCAATAACCTCAAATATGCAGATGACACCACCCTTATGGCAGAAAGTGAAGAGGAACTGAAAAGCCTCTTGATGAAAGTGAAAGAGGAGAGGGAAAAAGTTGGCTTAAAGCTCAACATTCAAAAAACTAAGATCATGGCATATGGTCCCATCACTTCATGGGAAATAGATGGGGAAACAGCGGAAACAGTGTCAGACTTTATTTTTTTGGGCTCCAAAATCACTGCAGGTGGTGATTGCAGCCATAAAATTAAAAGATGCTTACTCCTTGGAAGGAAAGTTATGACCAACCTAGATAGCATATTAAAAAGCGGAGACATTACTTTGTCAACAAAGGCCCATCTAGTCAAGGTTTTTCCAGTGGTCATGTATGGATGTGAGAGTTGGACTGTGAAGAAAGCTGAGTACGGAAGAATTGATGCTTTTGAACTGTGGTGTTGGAGAAGACTCTTGAGAGTCCTTTGGACTGCAAGGAGATTCAACCAGTCCACCCTAAAAGAGATCAGTCCTGGGTATTCAGTGGAAGGACTGATGCTGAAGCTGAAACTCCAATACTCTGGCCACCTCATGTGAAGAGTTGACTCATTGGAAAAGACCCTGATGCTGGGAGGGATTGGGGGCAGGAAGAGAAGGGGACAACAGAGGATGAGATGTTTGGATGGCATCACCGACTCTATGGACATGAGTTTGGGTAAACCCTGGGAGTTGGTGATGGACAGGGAGGCCTGGCCTGCTGTGATTCATGGGGTCGGAAAGAGTAGGACACGACTGAGCGACTGAACTGAACTGAAGGGAACATTTCATGCAAAGATGGGCACAATAAAGGACAGAAATGGTATGGACCTAACAGAAACAGAAGATATTAAGAAGAGGTGGAAGGATACACAGAACTATACAAAAAGGTCTTAAAGACTCAGATAACCACAATGGTGTGATCACTCACCTAGAACCAGACATTCTGGAGTCTGAAGTCAAGTGGGCCTTAGGAAGCATCGCTAAGAACAAAGCTAGAGGAGGTGATAGAATTCCAGCTGAGCTATTTCAAGTCCTAAATGATGATCCTGCTAATGTGCTGCACTCAATATGCCAGCAAATTTGGAAAACTCAGCAGAGGCCACAGGACTGGAAAAGGTCAGTTTTCTTTCCAATCCCAAAGAAAGGCAATGCCAAAGAATGTTCAAACTATTCCATAATTGCACTGATCTCACATGCTAGCAATGTAATGCTCAAAATTCTCCAAGTCAGGCTTCAACAGTACATGAACTGAGAACTTCCAGAAGTTCAAGCTGGATTAAGAAAAGGCAGAGGAATCAGAGATCAAGTTGTCAATATGGGTTGGATCATTGAAAAAGCAAGAGAGTTCCTGAAAACATCTACTTCTGCTTTATTGACTATGCCAAAGCCTTTACTGTGTGGATAACAACAAACTGGAAAATTCTTCAAGAGATGGTAATACCAGACCACCTTACCTGCCTCCTGAGAAATCTGTGTGAAGGTCAAGAAGCAACAGTTAAAATAGGACAGAGAACAGCAGATGGGTTCCAAATTGGGAAAGGAGTATGTCAAGGCTGTATATTGTCACCCTGCATATATAACTTAAATGCGAAGTACATCATGAAATGGTGGGCTGGATGAAGCACAAACTGGAATCAAGATTGCCCTGAGAATTATCAGTAACCTCAGATATGCAGATGACACAACCCTTATGGTGGAAAGTGAAGAGGAACTAAAAAACCTCTTGATGAAAGTGAAAGAGGAGAGTGAAAAAGTTGGCTTAAAGCTCAACATTCAAAAAACTAAGATCATGGCATCTGGTCCCATCACTTCATGGCAAATATATGGGGAAACAATGGAAACAGTGACAGATTTATTTTCTTGGGCTTCAAAATTACTGCAGATGGTGACTGCAGCTATGAAATTAAAAGACGCTTGCTTCTTGGAAGAAAAGATATGACCAACCTATATAGCATATTAAAAAGCAGAGACATTACTTTGCCAACAAATGTCTGTCTAGTCAAAGCTATTGTTTTTCCAGTAGTCATGTATCGATGTGAGAGTTGGACCATAAAGAAAGCAGAGCACAGAAGAACTGATTCTGTTGAACTGTGGTGTTAGAGAAGACTCTTGAGAGTTCTGGGACTGCAAGAATATCAAACTAGTCAATTCTAAAGGAAATCAGTCCTGAATATTCATTGGAAGGACTGATGCTGAAGCTGAAATTCCAATACTTTGGCGAAGAACTGACTCAGTGGAAAAGACCCTGAAGCTAGAAAAGATTGAAGGCAGGAAAAGGGGACGGTGGAGGAGGAGATGGTTGGATGGCATCACTGACTTGATGGGCATGAGTTTGAGCAATCTCTGGGAGTTGGTGATGGACAGGGAAGCCTGGCGTGCTGTAGTCCATGGGGTCACAAAGAGTCGAACATGATTGAGCGACTGAATTAAACTGAACTAAGGAAGTTTACCTTAAAACGAATCCATGTGGAAAAAATAAATAAATAAATAAAAAATAAAAAAACGAATCCATGTGGATCTTAAGCGTGTTGTTGGTTTTTATTCTGGGGCTTCAGTGATGCCTCCCAAGCTACCCAGGGTAGAATTTGCTAGGCAAATGGGAAATGGGAAATCACATGAATATTACTGAATCGGAAAATACAAATTGGAATATTTTCTTAACTTTTCCTCTGTTTAGTCATTCATTTTAAAAAAAATTAGAGTTCAGGTCCTTTGGATCAGAAAGTAGTTGGAAACCACCTCCCATTCATGGACCTTACATGAAGGTGCTGAAGATCAGCGATGGAGTAACCCAACCAGGGAGAAGAGCTGTGTCCTTGTGGGCTGAGGTGCATTCTCAGCAATGTTTTGGCCAGGCTGTGGCTTTGGTCTTCACATGCCCCCAGCAAGGACGCATCTGGAAAGCATCCTCTGTGGGTGAGAGTCAGCTGTTGGTTTCCAGCAGTGCAAGGCCTGGGGTCTCATTAGGTTACAACAAAATTTTTACAAGTGAGTCTTTAGTCTTTTAAACCTTTAGCTCTAGTTGAGACAAGGTGCTCATTTCAGCAGGAATTTGACTGAGCAATGAGTTGTATGCTTGCTAAGTTGCTTCAGTCGTGTCCGACTCTTTGTGACCCGATGGACAGTAGCCCACCAGGCTCCCTCTGTCCAAGGGATTCTCCAGGCATGGGTTGCCATGCCCTCCTCCAAGGGATCTTCCTGACCCAGGGATCGAACTGGAGTCTCTTATGTCTCATGCATTGGCAGATGGGTTCTTTACCACTGAGTCTCTGGGGGAAGCCCCTGGATTTGTGTCTACCAGACATTTAAACATCTGTGTCAGTGACTGTTATGTGAAATATAAACTGAAACTCGAGCCTTACATAGTTCCTGCAGACATATTATGATATTATGACGATGTATTCCATGGTATTGTGAGCCCTCCAGGAGGGACACCATGGAAATTTCATGAAAGAGGAGTCTCTGACTCTCATTAAAGATAAATTGAGGCACATGAAGAGTTTATCTGAGCAAAAATTGATTCACACAGGGCTGTGGCAAAGCAGAAGTGGTTAGGAGGACTCCACTGACTGGAGCTACAGAAAGACTTTTATAAAGAAAAGGTAGGAACAAAGCAAGGAAATTGTTGGTAGGCTGTAGATTAGAGCCTAGTTGACTATTTGTGATTGGTTGTCCTTTTGTTGTTCCGTCACTCATTCATATCCAACCATTTGCAACTCCATGGACTGCAGCATGCCAGGCTTCCCTGTCCTTCACCATCTCCCAGAGTTTGCTCAAATTCATGTCTATTGAGTCAATGATGCCATCCAACCATCTCATCCTCTGTCGCTCCCTTCTCCTCCTGCCTTCAATCTTTCCCAGCATCAGGGTCTTTTCCAATGAGTTGACTCTTCCCATCAAATGGCCAAAAGTATTGAAGCTTCAGCTTTGGCATCAGTCCTTCCAATAAATATTCAGGACTGATTTCCTCTAGGATGGACTGGTTGGATCTCCTTGCAGTCCAAGGCACTCTCAAGAGTCTTCTCCAACACCACAGTTCAAAAGCATCAATTCTTCTATGCTCAGCTTTTTTTATGGTCCACCTCTCATATCCACATATGATTACTGGAAAAACCATAACTTTGACTATATTTGGTTGTCTTTAGTGTTTTGATTTGGAACCTTGAGGCATCTACAGGCTTAGATTTTTGTTTCTTAATTAAGTCATCACCACATTAGAGCCACATCGGTCCAATGCTCTGCTTGTTTAATTACCACTCTTAACAAACAAGATGTTTTTCTGAAATATTCATGACCCATCACTATAGTCATTACTGCCTACTATTCTAATTTGAGGAAATCATATTGAACTGTTTTCTCCCTTGGTCTATGAGGTATAACATCTCTCTCCCCTCTTCTTGGCCTGAAATTTCTTTCCTACTCAGAATCTTTAGACAGACAGCAAAGATTGGGTCATTGCCTCAAGCAGCTGCCCATAGGATGTTCTCTGGCGGTCCGCTGGTTGGGACTCTGCACTTTCACTGCAGAGGGCACTTGTCCAAGCGCTGGTCAGGGAAATGTGCTGTGTGCTGTGCTCGGTTGTTTCTGACTCTTTTCTGACCCCATGGACTGTTGCTGCCAGGCTTCTCTGTCCATGAGATTTTTCCAGGCAAGAATATTGGAGTGGCTTGCATTTCTTTCTTCAAGAGATCTTCCCGACCCGGGGATCGAACCGGCGTCTCCTGCATTGGAGGTGGATTCTTTTTCACTGCTGCACCACTGGGTGAGCCCGCCCCAGTGGATGTAGTGTCTTCTTGGAATCCTTCTGAATTCAGGCAAGCTGCACTTGCAGAAGGCATCGTGTGCTTGAGATCTATTTTGTTCTGCCACTACACAGGTTCTACATGTCCCTCTGGCTGTACTGGTCCTTGGGAACTTTCTACCTTGCCACATGGTTTGCCATATTCATATTCTCCACCTTAAATGTTCATTGAAGTAAAGGAACTCTTTGCCAAATGACAGAACAGCTGGCAATTTGTTCTTCAGAACACTCTTGAATGGCAGTTTTAAATGGATTCCACAAGCTGCAAGGCACCCTCCCCTGCTGCCTTCCCCTAAGTTAAACTCATTAATGTCTTTGGACCAATAATGTTGTCAGAGAGGAGCCTCTTTAGTCTTGTTTGTATCCATCAGTCCTGTAGCACGATGATCTTACAGAACCCCAAGGCCTTGGGCCACCATCCTCAGAAGTTCCAAAAACGAGTTCTGAGAAGCCTGAGAATGAAACACTTGGGAAGGCAGGTCTGAGTGACGGGGTGGCTCTCACACATGTTGCACTGAATATGAGAATATCCTGACAAACTGGCACCTCAACACCCTGACAAATCCCACAAACAAACCACTGACCTTTTCCCACCAGAACCAAATTTTACTATGTGTATCACCATGCTCTCAAACCCTGCCTGTTTTTCTTAAGGGAACCAACAGAGGGCGCTGTCACCCAACGGTAACTCCATTAGAGTGCCTCCAATCCATTTTCCAATCCAGTGAATCGTCCGCTCCCACTCCAGTCTATGAAAATTCATCTTTTTGAGCAATCCCAGACTGAATTCATTTTTTCAGCTTCCTGCTCAGCTGTGGTGGAGATGTTTGTTTACAACAGTATCTCTGATGAACATATGCTGTATGGTTTGGGTAATTCAACATCCTGGTGGAGCCCAAAGAAACACAGAAGATGACAGTTTGGGCAGCGTTATTTTGTTGCACACGGAATGAGCGTCATTCTTGTGTTTAGGAGGCCAAGTCTGCAAACACTGCAAAGATACAAAGGGTGTTTGGATAATGAAGGAGGTAGAACAGTGAGGGCTGCACATCCTAAACAATGAAGTGGGTTCACACATACACACACACTGGATTTTCAGTTGGTCAAAAGGAGCAGTGGTTTTTGGTTCACGACCCTTTCACCAGGGCCTAGCATCCCTGCCTGCCACTTATTAGTGCCTATAAATATCTTTGTATCATAACTGATATATTCAATGTTAGAATTTGTTGAGAAGTTCAGTCCACTGGCTGTTTAGTTTATGAGGTGCTAAATAACCATTTTAACTGACTTAAAAAAAAAATTCAGCTAAATGAATCAGCTCTTTGTTTGAAGATCACAGGGACAAAGTCAATAAACATTGAGCAAACACTGCCCTGTCACCCTCAGCTCTCCTGCACCCTCCCGCTCTCCTTACTTGACTTTCTTCCCCACAGAGACCCTTGCAGATGGGTTACTGTGAGCCTGGCCCTAGAGGGGACTGAAGCCATCCCAATGTTTTCCCCAGTGGCTGGTGGGGGGAAGCTCACTCTGCTCCTCTAATCTCTGCCTCCTGGCCCTCACGTCCAGGACAGATCCCCAGGGAAGCAGCAAGAGATATCTCTTCCTTCTGCCTGGAACCCATCACTTCATCTTGTGACACTGCTCAGAACCTCAGAGGGGACCGTGGGCACATCACTTAGTCCATGGGAACCTAGTTTCATCATTGTGACCTAGTTTTGTCATTTGGATCCGAGACCTGAGCCTAGGAACTCTGTGTTCCCTTTCATCTCCAGCTTTCTGTTTCTCAGACATGCAGGTGGGGCAGGGCGGGAGATAGCAGTCTCTCCCTGAGTGTGGGGCAAAGGTCCCCAAAGCCCGGCCCTGGCCTGCAGCAGCTTCACCTGGGAATTGATAGAAATGCAAGTTCCTGCCCTCCTTAGACCTTTGGGGCTATGGACACTCTGGCTATAATTGAGCAGGGCCTGGGGATCCTGATCACTGTGAAATTGAACCCTTGTCCTGCAGCTGTGTGGGGAGGGTGGGGGTCAAGAGATAGAGGAGCTTGGGGCCCCCGAGGCTGGAGGAGGGGGGTCAGGATGGGGCCGGAGGCTGGGAGATGAACAGCACATGGAATTTCTGGGTGGCTAAGAGCACAAGCTCTCATCTGACTGCTTGAATCCTGGCTCTGCCACCTACTGTGTATGTGTGTGACCTGAGTTGGAGGCTTGGACTCTCTCTCTCTGTGCTCCTGTCTCTAAAATTCTAATGCAGCCATAGTAGGACCATAGCAGGTGCTGCTCAAGTGCCACCCCTTAATCCCTTCAGGACACCCCTCCCTGAGGTCTTTACTCTTTCTGGATGCCAAAGCCAGCTCTCCGCATCTAAGGGCCCTGTCCTCATCTGCTAACAGGACAGCAGCCCCCGAACAATGACTGCTCAGATGGGTGTGTCCGAAGCCCTGCCCTCTTGGCCTGTTGTGACTGTGTGTCCTGTGTGGATTCTAGAGCTTCCTCAGCAGGAATAAGCTCCAGTGACCTCAGTGAGCAGTACGTGAGTCTCACCCCTTTCCCTGTCTCACGTTCCAGCTTTCCTCAGCTTGCTTTCCAAGACCCCCTTCTGAACAAACAGCCTGCTCTTGAGTTCTCACCACAAGGTCCCCTTTGGGGGAACCCGAGCCAACCCAAGTGCTTCCCCGCTAAGGTTCATGTGAGGTTAATGCAATCAGCTTTGAGAACCATGCTCCGCACACAATAGGTGCTCCATAAAGGACTGCCACTGCTGTTAGTAGCTGAGCACTGTGTGGAGTCAGGACACCCGATTCCAGTCTTGCTTTGCACCAGCCAGTGAGGGGAGCCTGAGGAAGCCAGTTATCCCCCCACCACCCCCTGAGGGTCAGTTTCTACCCTTTCAGGGCTCTTTGGAGAACAAAACAGAAGAGCTCAGCAGGCACTTTGCAAACTGTGAAGGGAAACACCAAAGTGAAAGGTAAGAGGAACCAAAGCCTGAGGAAACTCGCCCAGCTCAGCTCTATCTACCCTGGATCCCAGAACCAGGACTGCCTCGGGCCCAGAGAGAACCCTCCCGAACCAGAGCCCACTGCCTACGGAGGTGGGGATGCTGAGGAGTGCTGAGTGCTGCTGAAAATTGGGCCTTTTGGTCCACCCTGTGCTGAGCACTTGGGGCTGAGTATCTTAGGCATCATAAGAGTTTTATTTCAAGGTATTTAAAATGGGTCTATTAGAAACAGGAGCAATTCCAAATGGGGTCTGAATACAGAGTTACATTCCAGTATTTATCTTTTACAAATTAGATGTTCGTAACAGGGAAAGTGTGAAGAGCCAACTTATTGGAAAAGACCCTGATGCTGGGAAAGATTGAAGGCAAGAGGAGAAGGGGACGACAGAGGATGAGATGTTAGGAGGGCATCACCAACTTAATGGACATGAATTTGAGCAAACTCCAGGAGACGGTGAAGAACAGGGAAGCCTGGCGTGCTGCAGTCAATGGGGTCGCAAAGAGTTGGACATGACTTAGCAACTGAACAACAAAAGGAAAAGTGCAAGGCAGTGTGAAAGCGCCATCAGCATGGCAATTAAACTACTTATGAATCATTCTTAATGCACAGTGCAGGACAGGCACTGGTCCAGGGCAAGGCTCGGAAGTTGTCTGCCCTGAACCATGTGAATTTTGTTGAAGAACCCGCAACCTCAATTGGCCACAATATCAGAGGCCCAAGTCCTTGGCCCGTGTCCTCTACCTGAGCAGGGAAGGCCGTTTTGAAAGTGGGGGTGTCAGACGGGTTTTCTGGGGGTCCTGTGGAGTGAGGACTGCAGAGGAGAGAAAGAGAATTTATTTGGACATAAAAACAGCAAGCCGACTGGGACCCCGAAGGGCTGAAATAAAGACGTAGAAAATGGTGACGAAAACGTGAAAGGGATTGACAGAGATATTTTGAAGGCAAAGGCTTTTTTTTTTTTAACCTCCATGAAATAACAGAAATACAACCAGAATTATTCATAGTAGAGGGCCATTTTTAAAGAAAGAATACGATGAGTTCACCTCTAACTTCCAGAAGCTTCCAGCAACTGGTGACTTCTGTCAGGCGACTGCTTCACTGACTTGGAGGAAGAACAAACTTTACTGAGGCAGGCAGCTTGCCAGGGACTGTTCCTCCAGCCAGGAACGGTTGTCTTTTTCTCCCCAAGGCATGTTTTTCCTCAAAGGGAAAAGGACAAACAAAACATGTTTGTCTAGGCAAAGGGCAGTAGGAGACGACATGTCCCAGGGTGGTCAGTGTTGCTGACAAATGTTGTGTCCCCTCAGACTTTATCCTGTAGGGTGGGAAAATGCTGAGGTGTCCAAGATGCTGCGATGCTGGAGGGGAGACTTGTCTGAAACAGAAGGGAGGGCGGACCCCAACTCTTCAAGTTTAAAGTGCCTGCAAGGGCGGAGGCGGGGTCCCAGGAGGGAGAAAGGGCCCCTGGAGGGTTGGCCAGGTCCCCTCCTCTCTGACGTAGTGCTCACCACAGGGAGGGGTCAGGCCGGTTGCTTTACCTCAAAGGCCTCAGTGTGACCAACTGAAAAGTGGTAAATAAAAGCAAAAATAAACAAACGGGACCTAATGAAACTTAAAAGCTTTTGCACAACAAAGGAAACTATAAGCAAGGTGAAAAGACAGCCCTCAGATTGGGAGAAAATAATAGCAAACGAAGCAACAGACAAAGGATTAATCTCAAAAATATACAAGCAACTCCTCCAGCTCAACTCCAGAAAAATAAATGACCCAATCAAAAAATGGGCCAAAGAACTGAACAGACATTTCTCCAAGGAAGACATACAGATGGATAACAAACACATGAAAAGATGCTCAACATCACTCATTATCAGAGAAATGCAAATCAAAACCACAATGAGGTACCATTACACACCAGTCAGGATGGCTGCTATCCAAAAGTCTACAAGCAATAAATACTGGAGAGGGTGTGGAGAAAAGGGAACCCTCTTACACTGTTGGTGGGAATGCAAATTAGTACAGCCACTATGGAAAACAGTGTGGAG